AGCTCTCTAGCGGCTGGTGGCTTTGCTTCTCTGATCTTCAGCCTGAACCCCAATATCTGTCGGTGGGTTTTTGTTATCTGTGCTACAAGGCTCCTCTGACGGGAGGTCTTCAACAGCCTCCAGTGGCTCTGCCCATTCTCGCCAAGAAGGCCACACACACTGACCTCCGGCCTCGCCCACGTTCTGACCCTTTCCTGGGAAGGCCTTGCTGCTTCCCTGTCCTCTCTGCTTCCGGTTCTGGGGGGGGGAGGACTTTTGTTTATTGTCCCACGGGCTCTGCAAACCTTCCCAGTCCCTTTGCGCGATCTCCTTCCTGCTGCTCACTACCTGTGAGCTCATCCTCAGGCCTCCCTTGTCCCTCCACGGGCCAGCCTCGCAAGCTGGGGTAGAGGGGACGTGGCAACGCGAAGTGTGTCGCCTTATTCAGAGCGAGTGTGGATACTGGGGTTGGTGATGATGGTGGTGATGGTGGTTACTCATAGCAATAGTGATACTCATGGTGATCATGGGTAATGATGGATTAGAATGGTGGTGAGAACAATGGTGACGTTGGTGGCGGCGCTGGTAATGGCGGCGGTGGTGATAGTGACGGAGGTGACCATACTGATGGTGATGGTGATGGTGAACCTGTACTTAATAACTATTGATCAATCTGGAAGGTAATATGGAAACACACACACACAGAGTACTGCTACCAACCAAGTTACACATGGAATCAGCGCTTTCTCTTGTTTAAAGCTCATTTTTCTAGGTTGCACACCTGTTGCTTGGCTCCCCTGGGCTTTCCCACCGTATGAAGAATGGGAAGGGCTCACCGTGAGGTTCCAAACACTGTTGGCGTCCGTCGCCCTTCTGTTCTCTCCCACGACAGGGGACTGCCCAGTCCAGTCCACAGAGGTCTACTGAGTATGCGCCAGGCACAGAACTAGATGACAGTGACAACAGTGATGCTTGAAAACAAAGCGAGGAGGAGGGGGAAAAGGAGAAGAGAAAGGGGATGGAGAGAAAGGGAGAAGCAGAAGGGAAGAGACAGGGAGGCGCCCTCATCTACCGCTTACTTAAGATGCGCCAGGCATAGTCTCCAGGGCATCTCATATATTGACGCATTTACATACGTGCGCTCATTTACGCACACGTGCATGCACATACACGCACGCACACACACACACACACACATGTGCTCATTCAATCATCATAACAGGTCCGTTTATGCCTCAGAAAACTCTAGTGAGGGGGCAGTCACCAGAATTGAACTAACTGGGCGAAGTTTCCTAGGACAGCACAGCTGAGCGGAAACCAGCCATGACCAGCAGATCCCAGGCTGTCAGCCATTGCTGTGGGATGACACCCTGTGTCCCCGGAGGTTCCTCTGTATTCAGCCAGGTCAAGTGGTGATAAACAAGGAGTTGAAGATGATGCAGGAAGATTGGCAGGAAGATCCTTGAGAAGACGGCACTCCCTGTGACAGGCAGGAAGTAAGCTGATAACCCAGACCTGAGAGATAAGCTACTCAAAGGCCAGGTGGAGGAGTGTCTAGTGAAGGGTGTGACTCACCCCTCCTGGACTCCTGGGCTGGGGCTCAGCCCCAGGGGAAGCCTTAGGGGACAGCGGTGGGAAGGCTGATGAAACTCAGCGCTGCCCTTGCATTAGATGATGGCATTCTGCTTTATTTAAGGTCTGAGCGCTCAGCTGATACCCACGGAAGCTCACAGGGCTGTGTGGCCTCTACCAATCCTGCGACACTCAGATACACATGGCGTGTGGGTGTCCGTGTGAGCGTGGGTGTCAGAGTGGGTAAGAATGAGACAGATTCAGCAAAGTGTGAACGATGGGTGTGCCAGTCAGAGTTTGATGCCGTGACAATGAAGGGACAGTGAAGGGGTGATCCACTTTAGTTCATAGCCTGAGCGGAGCAGCTCATGCCACAGTGGCCAGCAAGCGGGGGTGAGGCTGGGGGTGGGAGGGGTGGGAGAGAGAGAGGAGGGGGGAATCTGTGTTCCTGAGAGTCCTCCCTTTTCACCATCGGGCCCTGACCTACAGTACGGGTACCTTCCTCTTAGTCAGCCATCTTCAAGTGCCCTCACCCGCACACCCAGAGATGCCCTTTAATCCCAGGTGCTTCCCAACGCAATGGAGCTGGCGACCAAGAATAGTCACCACGCGGTGTGAGTCCCAGTGACAGACGTTTGCGAGCACTGCATGCCACTCTTGGCAACTTTCTCATGAACTTGAAATTAATTGTAGCCCGGCCGGGCTGGCCTCGAACTCACAGAGATCAGCCTGCCTCTGCTGGCATTGAAGGTGCGCACCGCTATGCCTGGGGTTTTCTGTGTGCTTGTTTTTTAATCCCAGCATCGAGAGGCAAAGGGAGGACAGTAACCACAGGTTTGAGGTCAGACTAGTCTACACAGTGTGGTCCAGGCCAGCCAGGCCTACGCAGGAGGACCCCATCTCCAAACAAAAAACAAAAAAACAAGAATTAAATATTGATTAGCAATAATAATAATAATAATATCAACCGGGACATGCTAATAGAAATACAGAGGATGAGGGACAGAAAGGGGAGAGAGGAAAGGGGAAGGAAGGAGGAAAATGAAGGAGAAAGAGGGAGGGAAGAAAAAGGAAGAAAGAAGAGGGAGATAAAGGAAGGAGATAAGGGAGGGAGGGAAGGATGAAGGGAGGGGGAGGGGCAGTGCCCAGATGGAGGGGCTGCCGGGCCTCTCTCTCTCCTTTGAAATCACTCACAGTTCTGATTGCAGCTTTAACTTCTAAGAAACTGTTGACTGACAGACCACACCGGCAGGTAGAGTAGCTTGGCTCTCCTGCCATCAACTGTGGTTCTGTGACCTAAATCCATCCTTCTTCTTTCCCAGGTAGACCTACTTGCCTGGGCCTCCCCAGTTCTCCAGAGGTACAGAAACCTCTACAGAGGTGTTCTCGCTGGCCCTGCCCCTCAAGTGTCAGCTTTGTCACGGCAAAGTCTGGTCCCTTCTCCACTTGACCCTCTCATGGGAGGGACTTTTCTTTTCTACTCCAAGCGTTTCTGAGTTCACCCAGGGATTTCCACAGTGGCATCCTGATGCCTGGTCACACATCACTCAGTTTGCCCAAACTCATTTATGACATTGGTAGCCAGCCTGATTTTTCTGTGGTATGTTGCTAGCCTATTGTTTAAGAATGTTTCTGTGGGGTTAGAGATGGTTCAGAGGTTAAGAGCACTGACTGCTCTTCCAGGGGTCTTGAGTTTGGATCCCAGCAACCACATGGTGGCTCAAAAACCATCCATAATGAGATCTGGTGCCCTCTTCTGGCCTGCACAACAAATAAATAAATCCTGTTTTTTTTTTTTAAGTGAGCTATGCTGGCTAGTTTTATGTCAGCTTGACACAGGCTAGAGTCATCAGAATCCTCCATAATACAGGGCTACAGCTTGTAGAGCATTTTTTTAATTAGTGATTGATAGGGCAGGGCCCAGTTCATGGTGGGCGGTGCCATCCCTGGGCTGGTGGCTCTGGGTTCCATAAGAAAGCAGGTTGAACGAGCCGTGAGGAGCAAGCCAGTAAGCAGCGCCCTCCACAGCCCCTGCATCAGCGCCTGCCTCCAGGTTCCTGCCCTGCTTGAGTTCCCGTCCTGACTTCCTTTGATGCTGAGCGGTGACATGGAAGTGTAGGCCAAATAAACACTCTCCTCCCCAAGTTGTTTTTGTTTATGGTATTTCACCACAGCACTAGAAACCTGAACTAAGACAGTATCCCAGTGTACTCTTCGTGTGAGTGTGAGTGTGTGAATGTGTGTGTGCGCATGTGTGTGTAAGAGCGTGCCTTGTTATGATGTCCAGGCTGGCCCCTGAACTCCTGTGCTCAAGAATCCTCCTGCTCCATCTCTGGAGTCGCTGGGACTCTAGACATGTGCCACCGCACCAGGCCGTCTGAGTTTTTCACAAGTGTTCATCTTTTCCTCCAGCCTCATCGGGAGTTTCCGTTAAGGAAGTGGTAATCCTGTGTCAGATTTCTGTCCTGCCCTCTTTGATGGATACATCTCAGAGTTTAATAGATACCTTAGTTCAATATTTTTTCCTTATTTCTGACCGTTGAGTTACATCCAAAGAAATTCTCAAGTACACCTTACGTTGAAGTAGAACACAAGGCTATGAAGTGGGTCTTTTGAGACCTCCTTTGGTGGCCCTACGGTCAGCGACCATGGCCATTGTGATGTTTCACGGGCAGCAGGTGGCCCTGGGTGGCTCTGGGTGCTCATATGTCCCATAGAAGTACAATGCCTCCACTACATCTATTTCCACAAATGTTGGTAGAGCTCAGCTGGGTTTCAAACACACTGCCAGTCATTTGGGTACCATTCTCCTTGCTCTGCCCAAGACACAGCGTTGACACTACAGCAAACAGCACCGGGTCAATTTCTTGTCACTTCAAAACAAGTCTAGTGTCAGAGGTGCTGTCCCACTGAAGCAGCGCGGGTGAGCAAGCCTCCAGGGGTCACCTCGGGAGGACTGTCCTTGCAGCTGACCGACTCCCGGCCCCCGTCTTGGGACTTGAATTCCCTCTCTTCATGTCTCACCATTTCAGCACATACGGAAGAGAGTGATGTCATGCCGCACAAATGCCAAAGTTGCCCTTTGGAGAGGCGACACCAAACATGGGCAGGGTGCCTAAGCCAAGTTTGCTTGGGCAAACACTCAACCCTGTTGCCGAACCCGTCTTCTGAGTCGATGCCTCCTGTGCAGGTTTCATGGAGGTTCCGACCTGGACATTGGATTTCTTTGAAGTTTTGAACTTCAAAGCTCTGTCAGAGGCCACCCAGGATGCCCCGGCGAGAGTGCCTCTATCGTGGTGGGACAGGCACCCAAGCACTCAGATCCTTCGAGAGTAATAATGCCAGCCTGGGTTTTCATTGTCATCATCATTATTATTGGCTCGAATGTCCACTTCCTGATAGGATTTTTAGCCAGTTTCCTCTTGTCTGTTCCTCAGGTGGGGTGGGAAACGGTGAGTTCCCTGCATGGAGTTCTTCTGTCTGCACACGACATGACTGACCCCTCTGCTACAGGCCCCTGCTCTGAGCTACTTGTCTGGGTGGGCTGTACTTTTCCTGTTAATTCACAAATTCGTCTCTGATTCTACTTGGCCTTGGGACAGTGGTGTACTGTCCATAGAGACCAAGGAAGGAGCCACAGAAGCCGTTTCGGTTTGGATGAGACTTCTTTGAGGCCACGAGCTAGAGAAGCCGTTCGGTGAGCCCTGTGTTTCCACGTTCACAGACTCCACAATCACACGTGAGGAAACCTCAGCAATTCTCGGGTCTCCTCCCACAGGAGCATCTATGGAAGCCCAGTCACCTATGGGTGGCCTCTGAGGTAAGAGAGGTGGCTAGGATTAAATGTACTACCCGGACTCTTTTTGGTAAACAAGCAAACAAACAAACAAACAAACAAACAAACAAACGCCATTGGAACAGTTCTAGGCCACTTGAAATCCCCGCCAAGCCCTAGAGACCCTGAGAATTGGAGCTACGAAAAATGCCAGTCTCAGAGAAGGCCAGCCTGGCCACAGAATGGGCACAGGATACTAGCAGAGGTCCATGTGTTGCAGCTACTTAGAAACAGATGACCTCCCTCCCCCATGGTGTCTATGGCTTGCCAAAGAGACATTAAGACACTATCCCAGCATGCTAGAAAGCTGGCTTAGTGGTTAGGAGTGTTTGCTGGTCATTCAAAGAACCAGAATTCAGTTCCCAGAACCTGTATCAGGTAACTCACAACCATGTAAAACTCCAGCTTAGGGTCAGACACCCTCTTATGGCCTTCCTGGCCAGCATGTATGTAGACATGTAAATAAAAATAAAAATGCGTAAGTCAAAAAGGACACAGTATGAGTAGAGACAGAAAATGTTCCCCCATTCCTGTTTTTGACGAGCTCTAAAACAAATGGTCAGACCCACAGAAGAGACTTTCACACTCTGTGAGTGACTGCTCCACCCAAGGACTAAAATGTGCCATACCCCATCCTAAGACCAGTACATGACGTTTGTTTTCCTGAGCGAGGATGGAGAGAGGGCCGCCAGAGAAGAGAGGAACACTGACTGAACCCTTGGGACTCAAACACAAACAAATACACTAGGGCCAAGGTTCAGTCCCATGACTGAGCACAGGCATAGCATTCAAGAGGTGCTGGGCAGGACCTCCAGCACCCCCAAAACAAACAAAACCTAATACCTTGTTTATCTAGAGTTCACATTTAACCGTGTTTCTTTTCTTTTCTTTTTTAAGTTAATCTGATAACACTAAGGGAGACATGCCTGATTACAAAGAGAACTCTCAGAGGCCCAGCCCAAAGCTGCTGGAGAATTTTATAGAATTAAGGTGGGGGTTCCTGAGAATGGAACTTCCCTTAGACTTAACCTCCCCCCCCACTTCCTCATTCTTGAACATATATATTCAGATGACCCTAGGAAGACATGTGTAAAAAGTAACCAGAGTGTTTTGACAGAGTGGTAGCAAAGGATCATTTTTCCGGTCTTCAGAGAGAGAAACCATGGGTTATGCCACCATCTCCTCCCTTCTTAAACACTCTGTGTGTGGCTTTGTGATAAAAATGAACGGATCTGGTGAGGATATGGGTGTCCCCCATGCCCTGATGGTGGGCCAGTAAAGTGAGTGATACAGTTATTTGGGAAAGGGCCTGGCAGTTCCTCCCAAAGTTGAGCACTGCAGTCAATTTTGTGTGATGTAAGTGGGTGAATTACATGGTACCCCACTGTAGCAGAGTGTATGGCAGTGGATAGTACCACAGTGAAGCCATTAAAAACCTGTGTACACTGAGCATAAAGAAACCTTTGAAAAACAGTTTTAGTAAAAATGTTAATGTGTCTCCAAGGGCTAGATTTTGTTACATTTCAGCCTTGTGCGCTCTTGCTATCTTTTGGAGCAAGCAAAGATTATTACTAAATACCCCCATCCCCAAGGGACATGGAAACATAGGTCCATGCTGTATCAGGCTTTTTCTTTTGGGCCACCAACCAGCTCCCAAAAATCATGATGGAGACTTATTAGTTATGAATGCCTGGCCTCAGCCTGGGCTCTTTTCATTCCAGCTCTTAATACTTGAGCTGTTTGTCTTTACATTTTTGCCCTGGGGCTTTGTACCTTTCTTTGTATCTTTGTTTCTTTCTTTGTATCTTTGTTTGTTTGTTTCTGTATATCTCGCTTTCACTTCTTCGTCATGTCTGACTGGCAGCTGCCTGGTTTCTGGCCCTGGGGTCCCTGGTCCTCTCCTCTCTTCTCTTTTCTCTCTGGAGTTCTCCTCCTATTTATTCTCTCTGCCAGCCCTGCCTATCCCTCTTCCGCCCAGCTATTGGTTGGTCAGCTTTTTATTAGACCAGTCGGGTGCCTTAAGCAGGTGAAACAAATACAACCCATCTTTACATAATTAAACAAACGCAGCACAAAGAAATGTTACACATCCTCACATGGTTAACAAAGGCAGCAGAAACAAATGGAACACACCTTCACAGTTAAAGTAATATTCCCCAACATAAACAAATATAACACATTTTTGCCTAGTTAAAACAATATTCCACAATACCATGCAATCTTGTTCAAGAATGCCAAAGGCGTTATCAACACAGCAGAAAGTTGAAACAACCTTAATATTCATCAAGTGACAGGTGGTTAAGTAAAATGTCTTTGGTGGAACCTGAAGAGGTGAATTAGAGGAGTGGCATACTGCTGTAACCGCAGCCTTCCTGCCTTGAGGCCAAGATCGAGGAGATCAGGTATGTCTTAAAATAAAAGGGAAGAAAGAGAAGGAAGTGGGAGAGGGAAAGGAGGAAAAGGAGGAGGAAGAGGAAGGAAGGAAAAACTGGTTGCTGTCATGATGTGGGAGGGCTAGGAAGACAGTGTTTGGTAAAGAAAGCCGGATAACAGAAGGCCGTATATTATCTAGTTCCATTCACGGTAAATGTCCAGAGTAGGCACACGTGTAGCAAGAGACAGGGTTGCCTAGGGCCAGAAAGAGGATGGGGGAGGAGGGAATGGTCAGTGGGCGCAATGTTTCTTTTTAGAGAGACAAAAATGTTCTCACATTAATTGTGGGGTTGCTTACACAGCCTTATGAATAAGCCATTGACTTGTGTGCTTCCAAAGGGTGGATTTCATGGCATGACAACAAGGCTGTTAAAATCTATTTATGTGCACCGAGGCATAGAAAACTCTTTGGGAAGTGTGTTTAGTCAAAATATTATTATAATAGCTGTCTCAAAGCGCAGGATTGTACGAAAGTTCCTTTTGTGGGCTTCCTGCCCTCTTTTGCAGTGTGCAAAGACTGCACTTGGATATAAGAGGGAAACAAACGTCCTTACCTGCGTGGAGAATGCTTCAAGTCCAAGGACTTTCACAGACTGGCCCCACCTCACCCCACCCCACCCCACCCCACCCCATCCCTCGGCAGACATATTAAAACATACCCAGGCCTCCCAGGCCACTTTCCATGGAATTATTGCAGATAACACCATTGTGATTGGCTAGGTTTTTCCAGACAACAGTCAGGCAAACTTGCGAATTTGTGTTAGGGAGAGAACAGTTAATCTGCAGACAGTCTTTCAGTGTGTGCGGAGGTCAGAGGACAACTTTGAGTAGTCCTCCACCTTTACTTAAGTTCCAGGGATCAAACTCATCTTTTGCAGAGAGCAAGTTTATTGTCGAAGTCATCTTGCTGGCAGTGGAAGAGACTTTTTTTATACATGTATTACAAACTGTAAGCTAGTGATCTTTGTATGTGTTTCATTTTGAAGTATGTATACACTGTTTTTATTTTTCAGGGGTTTTGTCTGTGTCTTGTACTGGAGATGTGGTCCCAGCATGCTAGACCAGAGCTCTGGCTTAAGCTTCAGCCCCAGCCAGACTGGTTTGTTTGTTTTTGGTTTTTTGAGCCAGAGCTACTAGTGACTGTGAAGCCCCCTACACATGTAGGCGCTGGGAACCAAACTTTGCAAGAGCAGCAAGTGCTTTTAACTGCAGAGTCATCTCGCCAGTCCGTTGCTGTTTTGTTTTTTGGTGTTTTGTTTTGTTTTAATAGGTGAGACCTTGCGTCAGACGGATAGATTTTGAAGGTTCGTCCACGAGCAAAGCCTGGTTGATGCTCTATAGCTGCTGATGTGAGTAGCAAGGCCCCACCCCTGCTAACAATGCAGATCAAACCCACTACCGGGTCTGCTGAAGAGGCTGTTTTCCTCCCTCCCTCCCCCTTCCTCCCTTTTTGTTGGTGGCGCTAGGGAACGATCCAGGGCCCTGAGTTTTTGTCACACACAAGAAAATATAAACTAACCCGATGGTGTCGCCTGCTAAGAGAATGGATTGTGAATCTATCTCCCAGCACTGCTTAGAAGCACGTTCGTGGGGCTGGAGAGATGGCTCCGGGGTTAAGAAGGCTTGCTGCTCTTGCAGACCCATGTTCCGTTCCCTGCACTCACGTGGGGGGTTCACAGTCACCAGTAACCCTAGCTCCAAGAGATCTAGCACCTTCATCCGGGAACTGGAGCTATAGTCAGTTGTGAGTCACCATGTGGGTGCTGGGAATCGAACCCAGGTCCTCTGCAAGAACAATATGCAATCTCAACCACTGAGTCATCTCTCCAGGCCCATCTATATCATTCTTTATCCTACATGAAGGTCCTTTAACTATCTAAAGAAATGCTTTACATTTATTTTGTAAAAATTAATTTTTATTGTGGATTGGACGGTCTTGGTCCTGCATGCTGGACAAGCACTTAGCTGCATCTCCAGCACATGGTTAACTTTTCATTTTGAGATGGGCTCTCACTAAGCTGCCCAGGCTGACCTGGAACTCACTCTGTAGCCCAGGCTGGCTTTGAACTATTATTTTTCCTGCCTAGGCTCATGAATATCTGTGATTATAGGACCCTCAAGGAAAGAGATGGATATGAGGAGCCCCCCTCACCTTCCATAACTGTGGTGCTCCCCCTCCGCAAACTGTGTCTGCACCCCCCAGTCACTGAGTCTAAGAGCCACCTGCTCTGAGAATTCACTCCTGTGGCTTTTGACTATCTTGTGGGCAGAGGAAGGGGAAGAAGACCCCAGCCCCTCCCCGTGCAGAACGAGAGTTGTTTTTTCACATTTTTAGCTCAGCTCTTGATCACTGAAGAGACGCACATTGCTTCAGCTGCTTTTGATCTTGGCTGTGCTTGTGAGTGTCAAATACTTCTGCTGCCAACAGAGCAAACAAAAGCTCAGACAATTCCGGGATCGAGAGATCAAGTCAAACTCTGGACAGCGGCCTTGCTGCTTAGACTAACAGAACCTGCTACCAGGACACCACAGCCCAGGCTCTCAGAATTAGGCCTGGAAGTCCCCTCCATGCTGGATCAAATTGTGATTTTGTCTTTTTGTAGAAGATGCAGCATTCAGACCAGGTGTGGTGGCCCTCGCCCGTAATCCCAACCCTTGGGAGACTGAGGCAGGAGAATAGGGCAAATGAGGCTAGCCTGGGCTACAGAGTGAATTATATCAGAAACAAAACAGTGTAAAACGTAATTGAAAAAAGGAAAATGAAGTATTTCGGAATAGACATCCCACTGGGGTGGAGAGATGGGGAGGCTGGAGGCCAGTGCTTGGGATCAGGCTGGAACCAGTTTGAGCCTGCAGTTTTCAACATTGTCTGGGAAGTCAGTAGTTGCTGTGAATGCTCTGTGGAGACTGACGTTTTTACTCTAGTGTATCCGTTCCTTCTCTCTGCTTCGATAAAATACTCAAAAGAAGCAACTTAGTGAGAAAAGATTTGTAGTGGATTACACCAGTAAGTGTGGTGGAGAAGGCGGGGTTCACAGTGGCTTCAGGATGTGGCGGCAGAAATGCCAGGCCGCTTGCTCACTTTCTGGCAGATCAGGCTCATATTCAAACTACAACACTCGGACAGCTACCCCAGTGGTGGGTGACATCACCATCCCCCACTTACAGTTAAGGAAGCTGAGTCACAGAGACGCAAGATGTCACCACAAGCAAGGAGCAGCTGTTCCTGGTGTAGAGGTCTGGACACCTTGCCTCTTTCCTGCCCATGGCAGCCCAGTTTCCTGTGTTGGTTGTGTATTTCCCATTTCCTCTACCTTATCTTTCCTTTGGAAATTCCATACTAGACCCCAAACCGCTTGAGAGTGGGAATAAAATGAAGCCAGCCTACTCCAGGCACTGAGTGCTTTTCAAATCCCTCGGGACAGGTGACCAGAGCCACTGTCCTCTGACACCTGTGCAGATCCGGGGTTGGGCATGCCTGATGATGATGAAGTCAAGGGACAGTCAGCAGACGAAGTTGAAACCGGGGGCCAATTACCCACGACTCGCTGTGCTACCAGCATGCAATTGGGCCATAAAAGCACGGACGGGAGAGACTTCGAAGCCCTTGCTGTGCACTGATGCAGAATGTGGAGGTTTTAGCTTACTTTTCCGCTCGCTCTCACTGGGAACTCCTCATTCCTCCTGGCACACTGTCAGATCTCTGTTCTAATCTCTGTGAACTCCCGAGGTGGCGGTCCTACGGCCTCAGTCACACTCCGAGTGCCCTAAAACAAATGTGCAAACAGAAGGCTCCAGAAAGCTCAGGCCCCGGCTCTTACAGGAATCCCATGCTGGGCTGATGGGCATTCCGTCTGGGGCAGGCCGAGGGGGAGCTCGTGCTGTTTGCAGTGCCTTTTTTTGTCAGTGCAACTCAACACATCTTTCTTTTGGTTGCAGTGAATCCCAAAAAGCCAGGACATGTCGTGGTTCTGCTAACAAGTGGTCACAGCACTGTCTCATTTATAATATCTACAAAACAATTCTTGGCATCGGCAGGCCACAGCTATTGGAGATCAGAGGGAGGAGGAGGAACAGATGTGGGCATTTATTGAGCCCCTACTGTGTGCCAGGTACTCCTGCTCACCTGGTAGAAACCTCAGGCGTGGTCACACCCAGTTTGCAGAGGTGGAAGGGGAGTTTAGGAAATTAAAGATGGGACCCCCCCCAAGTTACACAGCTGGAAGAGAGGCCACCCAAAACTGAGCGCAGAGCCCTTGCTTTCTCCTCAACACCACGAAGCCTGGCAGTTTTCCAGTAAAGCTTTATGGATTATGTGACGTCATTATTTTACCAAAGATATGATTTCCTCCTTGTATACCTAACCATGAAAATAACATTTTCTCAAAATGCAAGACAGCTCACAGAGGCATGTTTGAGGAAGAGTGAGACTCCTGATTTCCTAAGAGCCGGGGATGGGTGGCCTTGACATCCACGCTGCAATGTTCCCTCATTAAGAGGGTAGCGCATTGTACGTCACGATGTTTACAATTGGACAAAGTAGAAACGGGCTGAACCCATAAGACGCTGAAAGCTCAGGGAAACATCAAGAGAAAGAAGTTAGGAAAAGATAGACCGGAAAGTGTTCACCAAGAGACAATAGTTCTTTCTGTCTCTGTCTGTCTGTCTCTCTCAGTTACCTTTCAGTGGCAAACTTTTCAATTCACCAGAAGATATGAGAATTTTAAGTGTACATGTGCTTAAGAATGTCTGGCACTTTGTAAGTGAATACTTTATAGACAGGCAGAGAGACATTGACAATTGGGGCTGGAGAGTTGGTTCGGCCGTCAGGGAGCATTTGTTGCTTTCCCAGAAGACCCAGGTTCAATCCCCAGCACCCACATGGTGATCACAGCATCTGTAACTCTAGTTCTAGGAGATCTGACACCTTCTTCTGACCTCCATAGCATGTATGTGTTTCACAGACACACATGCAGGCAAAACACTAATATACATAAAACAAAGTATATAAAGCTAAAATAAAAAAATAAAACAGATAGAGGGAACTTAGGAACAGATCTCCAAAATAATCTGTTGTTCAAAAAAAGAAATTATAATGAAAATTGATAAATATTTAGAATAATATATAGAGCACATGAGGCTTATGTGACATTATGGGGAAAGTTGTACTCGGAGCCAAGTGTGTACAGGAGAAAGTGAAGCCTCTCACGACAAATCCACCAGCATGTGTTGAGGGCGCAACACAGCCAACAAAATAGAAAACTAGGATAAAGAATTTATGGACACATTTGACAGCCACAAAGGAAACCTTTTGAAAAGCATAACCATGTTAATTGAAGAGGAAATACAGCGCTTGAATGTTCTAGAATTATTAAATAAATTGACATAGTACAATATGTCTGGTCATAACAGAGCAAGGTTCAGATAGTGTCACAGTCAGGTTCCTTAAAACACCAGCTGATGTTTCCAGCACACAGAAGAACACTGCCCAACTCATTTGCCCAGGCTAGCCCCAAACTCACATTCTCCTACCTCACTACTTGGTGCTGGCATTACAGGTGTGCGATGTCCTACTAGGCCGGGACATTTGGAGTTTTGTGTGATCTCTCTCATTCAGCTTTCGGGGCCAGCTCTTGTAACCCAGGCTAACCTTGAGCTCATTATATGGTGGAGTGTGACCCAGAACTCTCGACTCTCCTGCCTCTGCCTCCTGAGTGTTGAGATCTGTAGGGGTGTGGTACCACATCCATCAAGTCTTGATTTTAAAGTCAGTTAAGGTCAGTTAGAGAAAGAAACATCAAAACCCAACTTCATTCATGATCATAGCTATAAAATCCCTTCAGACACCAAGGCAGACTCGGACGCATGTCTGAGGAATAGTGGTGTCATTCCAGGAAAGCAGGCGTGGGTTGACATCAGGAAAGAAAGAAAAAGTGTGTCATTGTCATTGTGCTGCAGGAAATCGGTTTACTCATAGTGGCCAGGCTTTTGTCTCAGCTCCTCTCCAGCCCCGACATTTCCCAAGAAATGGAAGTGTCTTTGTTTGTATTTCTGGGCTGCTTTTTGGCCACACTCAATGGTTGGCTTAGTGGAGTGATTCATGGATGGCTCTTTGCACCACGTCTGAGTTAATGTTAAAGGGACAACTGGGCATGGGTGGGGGCGAGCCATGCGGGAAAGGCCAACTCTTGGTGGGAAGACCAAAGCTTCAGGCTCTTTAAGATCAGCTGGAGCTTAGCCAAGAGACGTTGAGGGCATCGTGTGAGCTCAGTCAATCCATCTTGCTGCTACAATGAAGGTTCAGTCAAAGCTCTGGGCCACAGGGCTCTGGGCCCCTGTGGGGCTGGGCAGGAGCATGCGCACTGCCATACACAGTGGGCCAGGACCCGGAAGCTTAGGCTGGGAATCCTCCCAGTTCCAGGCTCTGCCCGGTGCCGCCTTCTGCCCACCAAGTATTTGTACTCTTTGCTGTAACTCAGACGGAAGTGTTCTGTGTGGCACTTTCCTGCTTTCCCCAAGGCATTTCAGCAAACTCCAGGGAGTCCAGACTCTGTATAGCCCGCGGGTCTGAGTAGGGGGTACTGTGAGGACGCCTGAATTTGGGACTCGTGTCGGGAGTCATAGCAGACTTGGCAGTCTGGAGACTCTATCCTTCACGTTGGGTTTAGCTGGCGCCATAGTAGTTCACTGCATCACAGAGTGGGTGAGAGGCCTCCTGTGACTCTCAATAGACGCAAGAAGAGAAGCACTGGTAAAACTTCCTGTCTCACTGGCTTGCCATGGAAGCCTGGCGGCAGAGTCTGCTTCCTGGGGACGACATGGTGCAAAGAGAGAACCAATTCCTGCAAGATGTACACCCCTCTCTCCTCTGTCTCTGTCTCTCTGTCTCTGTCTCTGTCTGTCTGTCTCTCTCTCCTCTCTCCTCTCTGTCTCTCTGTGTCTCTGTGTTTCTGTCTCTGTCTCTGTCTCTGTCTCTCTCTCTCCCCCCCTCACACACACACATTGACCTGCAGTCAAATGCTCTACCACAGAGCTATACCCCCTCTCTCATACACATTGAATGAATGAATGAATGAATGAATGAATGTAAATAAACTTTTCCAACATCCTGGTCATTTTGATTAAGAAGAGAATTAAGCGGACTAGAAGAAAATTTCCTTAACCTGGTAAAGAGCACATCATCAAACCATATAAATACAAAAATGTTGTCAGGCATGGTGGCTCACATCTCAGAAAGACCACAGACCCAAGGCCTGCCTGGGCTACAGAGTGAGTCCAAAACCAGCCTTGGAAGCCTAGGAAGACATCGCCTCAAAATGAAAAGTAAAAAGAAGGCTGGGAATAGCTCTGTAGTAAAGTGTTTGACCAGCATGCAAGAGATCCTAGGTTCACCCCTGCCCCAAAAAAAGGACAAAACAAACGAGACACACTAGGATTCTTAATACATTAAATCCAAGTATTTCTAAAATTGGTGAGACAGCTTGGCTACTTGTGAAAGCATTCTGAGGCATCAGTTTAGGTCTGGCAGGATAAGTCCCCTGGTAAAGTGCGAGCCACTAGCCTGAAGACTTGAGTGGGATCCCTGGGACCCCACCTGGAGGAAGGAGAGAACTGAGTCCTGCAAATTGTCCTCTGACTTGCAAATGGGTGCCATGGCACACGGATGACCCCCCAATAAAGCATTAGTTTATATCACAATTTAGGGAGAGTCCTCAGAAGATCACACACAGCCGGGTGGTGGTGGTGCACACATTTGATCCTGTCAGAGGCAGGAGGATTTCTGTGAGTTCCGTCTGGTCAGTCTGGTCTACAGAGCAAGTTCCAGGACAGCTGGGCCTACACACACACACACACACACACACACACACACACACACACACACACACACACACAGAGAGACAGAGAGACAGAGAGACAGAGAGACAGACACAGACACAGAGACACAGAGAGGAAGAAATGATGCTCCCAGAACAGTACCCAGCACCATGCACTCTAAACGTCTTCAAGAGTTCCCATGCCCAGGAGCAAGTAAAATTAATATTCCTCCAGACTCAGAGACCACCACTCATCTCAGCAGCTAGGAAGACTCTCAGAAACATGAACACACAAAAAAAAAAAAAAAAGAGGAGGAGTGCCGTCTGGTCGGGTACGGACAGGTCCTGGGTTCAATCCTCTGCATGGAAGAAAAGAAGGGGGCGGGGCGAAGGGAGGAAGGAGGGAGAGGAGGAGGAGAAGATGGAGGAGGAAACTAGGAGAGATTGTGTAACTTCATTTATATGGAATTCTAGAACAAAGAAAACAGAGTAGCAGTTGCCTAAGGAATCCTTGGAGGGGTTTGAGGGACTTTCTGGACTGGGGAGTGGTTCCTTGGGTGCCAACATTTCAAAACACACCAGGCCACGTGTTTTAAAATCTGTGCATGTCTTTGTGTACGACTTAACACACTAATTTAAGAGGGAAGGCGGGAGGGCTGGGGAACAGCTTGGAGTGGAGCGCTTGCTGTGCCGGTGTGTCTAAGTTCTGATCCCTAGCATCCATGTACAAGCTGGACTAGGTGGTAGCCATCTGTAACCATGGCGACAGGGAGGCAGAGACAGGTGGATCCTGGAGGCTTGCTGACCATTCAGTGTGGCCGAAACTGTGCTCCAGGCTCACAGAGAGACCCGATCTTAAAGAACAAGGTGAGTGACTGAAGAAGACGCCAGGTGAGTACACACACACACACACACACACACACACACACACACACACACACACACACACGAGTATTTGGAGCATAAAATCACCCTTAAAAAAAACCATCATGAATAACAAAAAAAATTTAATTGAGATCATAGTTGCCTCAAGAAGCCTGGGCAGGACTGAGATAGAGAACAGGAAGTCATAAATGACACTAACTCTTAGTTTGAAGGCTAGCTCCAAAGACTCCTTCATATCACTATGTCTGTAATAACATAATGCATTCGTGTTATATGAATACACAGGTATATGTCATATTCATTATGCTGTAGGTATCAAGTAATGTATTTATTCTAATTTTAAAACAATCTTATTTAGGGCTAGAGAGATGGCCCGGCAGTTAAAAAGTACTGCCTGCTCTTCCAGAAGACCAGGGTTCTATTCCCTGCACCTACATGACAGCTCACAACCATCTCTAACTCCAGTTCCAGGGGATTCATCTGATCCCTTCTCCTGGCATCCACAGGTACCTGGTACCCACATGATACACACACACACACACACACACACACACACAGGCAAAACACCCACACATATCAAATAAAAATTAATCTCAAAAAATTATGTCTGTGTGTCTGTGTGTATGCCTGGGCTTTCAGAGATCCCCTCGTGCTGGAGTTTCAGGAGGCTGTAAGTGGCAGGGACGAAACCCTGGTCTTTTGCAAGAGCAGCAAGTGCTCTTCACTGCTGAACCATCTCTCCAGCCCCAGTCAAACAAGCATTCTTAAAAAATTTGAAAGCAGGGTCTGGAGAGATGGCTCAGCAGTTAAGATCACTTACCACTCTTCCAGAGGACCTGGGTTCAATTCCCAGCACTACAAGGTAGCTCACAACCATCTGTAACTCCAGACCTCTTCTGGGCTCCAAAGACACTACATACAGGTGGCTCACTGTGTGCAGGCAAAATACTCATACACATAAACTTAAAATAAATCAATGCTTAAGATAATATTGACCACATTGTGACTCTTCAGGGGATTCCTGGAAGTCTGTGAACGGGAAATAAGGACAGGTGGTCAGTAATAAGACATTCTAGACAAAATCCTAGACCTTCCATAGACAGACTCCCATGTGTGAGACGGAGCAGGGCATTTTGGGTAGCTGAAGCCTATGGCTCCCGCCTGTCTCACGCCGCTCTTGTTTCTTCCTGGAGGTCTCTTGTCACTAACTTCCCTGGGCATGTAGGACCAACCAGGAAAAATACTAGATTTTTGGTGTCTCTCAAAGACCTGAACTTTCTGGGCATAGTGGTACATGTCTGTAATCCCATCACTGGGAAGGCTGAGGCAGGAATAGCCTGGGCTACATTGTAAAACCTTCCAAAATACCTCCTTCAAATCAACATCAGTGGACAAAGTTGTTGTATGGAAAAAGGACAGACTGTATCTCATCACATAAACTCTCCGTAAAGCCCCCATGGCTCCTTGCTGCCTGGGGACGAGTCCCACTGTGTCAGTCACACAGGGCTGTGCAGGCAGGTACCTGCTGAAGGCCTGGGTTTAATTTTCCCTGGTGTCATGCGTCTGGAGATTCCTTGGACCGTCCCACAGTCGCTCTGCACACAGCCTCTGTTTGCCTCCCTGACTCTGCCAGCCCCTGTGCAACCTGCAGCTCAGCACGTCATCCCGGGGAGTCCCGGGGGAGTTAGGGAGATGTTCACTGGCTCAACTCCAGCCTTAGCCTTTGAGGGCCCAACCTCGATTCTCACGCGCAGTGCCTGGCTGGGGACTAGCTGATAAGCCAAGCTCTGCTGTGGTCAAAGCACCCTCTGGGGCTGCCTCTCCCACCTAGACGCTGCTGCCCAGCGCAAAGGGGTCCTGGCTGTCTCTCGGTGTGGAGCAGCCAGGTCCCCTGCAGCCCATGGGCTCCAAGCAGCCTGCCAACCTTGTCTTCCGTAGGTAGCAGAGAGCCAGAGAACCAGAGCGCCGGTCTCTGGCCACTGTGGCTGTTGGAAGCTCACTAACATCGGGCTGACCTGCAGATGCCCGCCAGATCAACCCTGCTCTCCCTGGGCAGGTCACAGACCCTGCATCGGGGGAAGCAAACCCTCCTCATCCCCCATGATGCTGAGTCTAAACAGGATGAAACTTTGGCCTCTGTCACTTTTTAAAAATGTTTTTAATTAAATCTCTAGGGTCACTGACACCCCGGAGATGGGAATTGCAACCCTGCAGCTAGCCTGTTAATGACACACCATCTGTTTGTTCATGTGGGGTGATCACATGATCTTTGCTCTGCAGAACATCCTGTCTCACTGGCCTAAACCGGTTTGTGGGTGAAATGCTCGGGAGGAATGCCAAAAGTCTCCCTCCTCTTCCTCTCCCTCTCTGACTCTCTCACCCTTCTTACAATGGGCTGTTAGGAAAATTGGTCTGTTAATTTAAATGATGTTCACTTTGTGTTAACTGTTGGCAGCACTCCGTCACCCTGTTCGAGCGCAGGTAGGATTCTAGCTGGGCATCCGGTGACACCCTGGATGAGAAGAGCTGATAAGATGGCCCAGTCCAATCGAAGAGGAGACTTGCAGTCAGGGAAAGCCCAGAGGGTCCTCAGCTCGGCCTGCAGCACCATCCAACTCAGGCTCCTCTCGGGACCCCAGGACCCCCACCAGGGCAGAAGAGGTCAGAGCCTGGAGTGCTCTGACTTTGACAAAGGGTGCATGTGCCACTCACTTTTACTCTTTAACTGGGATCATTGACTTGTACCCACGATCAGATAAAATCTCTGCAGTGTCTCCCCCGTGGGATGCTTTTAAGGCTTTTAGCTTTTAGCCATTACAGTGACAACTGGGTCTCAGAAAAGAATAGCCCACAGATATCCTGCCAGCCAGTGACCCTCTGAGTGTGTGGGTGGGGGAGGGGGACAGCACTACACAGACCACACACACTCACGCATGTGTGCTCATGCACACACACATGTGCACACATGCACACACACATGTGCACACATACACACACGGACGTGCTCACATGCGCACACACATACATGTGCACACATGCATACATGGACATGTGCACACGTGTGCTCATGCACACACACGTGCACACATGCACACACGGACGTGCTCACACGCACGCGCGCACACACACACACACACACACCGCATCCAACTCCATCCCTCCCGGTGCCCTCCTCATCATCCCCCACTGTAGGTGGGAATGGGGAAGGGGGAGAGGTTCTGGAAGAACCTAATGCTTGTGTGACTGAAGATGCACAGCTGTGAAATATGCCTTATGAAACTCGGGCACTCGACGCTCGAATGGACGCTTTGCAGCCCACCTGCAGAGCCCCACTTTGTCACCGAGGAGGTGACAAGCCAGGGCCGCATGGGAGTCTGTCCTGGCAGGACCCTCTGGCCGGCTGGCTGCAGCTGCAGAGGAGGCGGTGGCTAGGGTAAAAGGACTGGTCCCAGGCAGGTCCAGGCTGCAGCACCCGGGGCTCTCAGGGAGGGAAAGCCGGCTGGTGAAGGCGCTGGCTGCTGACAGCCCACGACGGCCCCTTGCGAGCACAGCTTGCGTCTTTTCTTTTGACCGTGGATGACAGTGCCCTTGTTCCGCAGTCCAGGCTTTGTTTTCCGTGCCACCAGTGGTTTTTTTTTTTCCCCTAATAATTCTACCTCTTCCTTAGGGGCTCTGATTTCGAGGTTTAAGCTGGGAAGGGGGGCTGTGGGGGAGGGGGAGCGTAGAACACCCATAGATAAATTTCCTTGAGAGGGGCAAGGCCCTACCTAGTGAATGACTCACCCTTAGGTGCCTCACATTCTGGGCTCACGCACTGTTTCTCCAATCACCAAAGAGTCAATGGCCCGGGCCTCTTATCGCCTGCCCGCTGATAGGAGTTTGCAGCCCATAAAACCCAGCTCTACTCCACTCCCTGCAGGAAAACATCTGCACCTGGGCTTCTTGGCCCAGAAGAATGTGACTTAGTCACCTGTTGGTAAGTGTAGCCATTGTTCTGCCTCCCTTGTACAGGCCAGCCACCCCAGATCAATCACGTGTGGTCCACAGCCGCAGGGGGCCCAGGCTGGGACGTGCATTCCTCTGCTTTTTCATCGGCCCCCAAGTAAAACAGCAGCTGACGGCTTCTCCGGACAAGCAAGGGGCAATGTTTATCTCACTGTCTTCCGAAAACCCAGCTGCCACTCACTAGGGTCACCGGTGGCAGTCAACAGTGTGACCCTCCCAAGCTGCTGCTAAGAGTTTCAAACTGTCTTCATCAAGTAACACCTGGCTTTTGGGTACAAAACACGGTGTGAGGCTGTCACCGGATGTCAAAGGTGGCTCTTGGATAAGACCGTGAGTCACTTCCGCGACTGGTCCTACTGGAGGGTGTGCTCAGAACGGCAGCTGTTGGTCTTTTCCTCTGGCCGTGCGCACAACAGTTAGGCGAGCGTGCGGTTTGAAAGGAACGGGAAACACTTTTTGGTGCTGGGCCATGCGAAAACTCAGGCTGACAGACCCTTGTGTTCATGCGAGAGCTCAATGAAAAATACTCAGGGCGACTGCTCCTGGTGGGGAGACGCTCCCTCTCAACATTGTTTTTTTAGCCCTGAAAAACGGAATGTGACATGGCCATTTCTTAGGGGGCAGCATGCTCCAGCTCTCAGTGGCTTGGTCGGTTGTCAGTCGTCTTTCTGGTCCTCCCTCTTGCCACCTTCACCCTCTGCCTGTCCGTCCTCACCCATCCTGCTGGGCCTGGTCAGCCCCACCTCCTGCCAATGCCTGCCCAGATACTCCCCTCAGACGAACTCCCAGGGGACGGTCTAAATCAGGTCACTGCTCCTACGCCGCCTGTCTGTCCAATGTGATCCAGAAGGTTCTGGTTGGCAGCATTGCCCAGGCAGAGAGAGACAGCTGACGCGCCCTCCCTACAGCCTCTGCAGCATAGGGCAAGGGGTAGGATGAGGTTCAGTGGCTCTTAGAGGTTCTGCCCGAAGAGGTCCCCACATCCTCTGTCCCCTCATACTCTATCCATCAAAGCAAGTCAAGCGGCCACCCGAGCCTCGGAGGTCAGGCTATCACGCTGCCTTAGGGTGGGGACCACCACCATCATATGCTGACTCCTGTAGGTTTCCCAGGCCAAAGGAAGGGGAGCCTGCTGGGGGAGCCAGGGATCTGGGGCCCCGCTGGGGCAGCTGGGATGAATCAACCTTGACTTTCAGAGCATGGTGGAGGCTGTGGCAGGGATGCTCAGTCCCCAAGGGCATGAAAACCTCTTTCTCTTTCATACCCAGGCTCCTTGCAGCCTGCTGTAGCTCCAGGCTCCTTGTAGCTTGCTGTAGTTCAGGGCACAAAGGTGTTTTGCAACTGTTGCTGAATAGCAAGTTAGCCCTGTAGCTCACCAGGGTCTGGAGACCTAAGCTGTGTTGCTCTGGTCATGTTTTAAGCTTTGCAAAGGGTAGAAAGTTTGTACTCTCATGCTGGCCAGCATGGTGGTGCTTGCCTAAATTGGAGCATTCTAGAGTTGGAGGCAGGAGGATTGGGAGTTCAAGACTAGCTTGGGCTACACAGGACCCTGTGTCAAACAAACAAACAAACAAGCAAAAACAAACACTAAAAGAAGAGAAGTTAATATCCTCCCTCCCCCGACTCCGTTAATTTAACAAATGAGCACTGTTCGGTACCACCCTTGCCAGTTTCCGTCCTAAAGGTCTCCTGGACAGTTCACAGGCAAAACCACACAGCAGTGTGATATACGTTCAGTTCCTACATGCGAGGGGCCAGGGATGTGTCACACTTGGTAGAGTGCCTGCCTAGCATGCGGGAGGCCCGGGTTCAATCTCCAGCACCAGGGAAATAGGGTGTGGTGATATACACCCATAACCCTGGTATTCTGGAGGCCGGGAGATCAGAAGTTCAAGGTCAACCCTAGCTATAGCAGGTTTATGCTGGACTGGGGTACATGAGACCTTGAGATATGGGAAGAGGAAAGGAGGGAAGAGAAAAAGCCAAGTCCTATATGGAAACTCGGAAATACCTCTGGGGATGTGAAGGGAACCCAGAAATCTTTCTCCCGGGCCTAGGTCAAAAGGGTCAGAGCACTGTCCACACTAGAGACACGGAGTGGGGGGGGGGGGACAGGATTGGTAGTGGGTTTCCATTTAGACAAGAAGAGTACAGGGGCCGGGCGTTGGCGGCACACGCCTTTAATCCCAGCACTCGGGAGACAGTGGCAGGTGGATCTCTGTGAGTTCCAGGCCAGCCTGGTCTACAGAGCGAGTTCCAGGACAGCCTCCAAAATAATGCAGAGAAACCCTGTCTCGAAAAACCAAAAAAAAAAAAAAAAAGTAGAGTACAGGATGGGCTGCCCCTAAAGGGCCGGTCTGCATTGTAAGCGTTGTGGGTCACATGTGAACCCTGCTGCATGTTCATCCCGTATGCCCATGTGTGCTTATAACCCTTTAAAAACATGAAAGCCGCTCTCGGTTTTCAGACCGCATAAAAGCAGGACCAGCAGGAGGCACGCCCAAGGGGATGGCTACAACAGAAAAGGACAGACAATGATACGAGGTTCTGGGAAGGATGTGGGCAAAGGCCCTTGTCTGTTGCTAGTGGGAAGGGGTCTGGCAGCCCGGCACAGCGCTGAACACACAGCTGTCATCTGACCTGGCAGCTCCTCTCTTGGGTGCCTGTGTACCCCGGAGAACTGGAAACACATGTCCGCAGGAAACCCATGTGTGGATGCTCACAGCAGCACGCCTTGTAATTACCGTGGAAACAACACACTGCCCATCAAGGGATGAATGGGGGAGACGAAGCATAGACAGGAAGGAGGCTCTGCCATACACCGTAACACAGGTACGCTTCACCGAGTAGGAGAAAGCCGGTAGACACCCGAGAGCAGACTTCTCAAGGCTGGGCTCCGTTGGACGGCTCCAAGCAAGCAAGTCTGCAGACAGACAGGGAGCCCTGTTCTGGGCTGGAGGGTTTCAGGACAGCAAGGAGTGTCTGCTGACGGCACAGCTTCTTTGGTGGCTGATGAGAGTGTTCTGGGATTATCAGTAATGATGACTTCTGTGAATGTAGTGACAGTCACAGACCTGTGGGGTTTGGAAGTGTGAGTCAGGGACTAGGGAGATGGCTCAGTGGGTAAAGACCCTGAGGACCCAAGTGTGGATCGCCCGCACCCACATAAAGCTAGGCATGGTGAAGCCTGTCTATAACCCTCAAATGCATGTACGTGCCTGTATTAGTGCACGTGTGTGTGTGTGCGCGCACACACACACCGGTGCCTTCCTGAGTGGCCTGTTCTTCTAGTTCATCAGTAAGTTCACCACCCTGGAAGCTTGCAAGCACATGTCATTACATAGGTGGTTGATTGAGTCATTGGCCACTGGTGATGCTCAATGGTTCAGTCTCCAACTTTTCCCCCTTCGCAGAAGTGGGGTGAGTATTATGGAAGTTTCAATCCTCAATTACGCCTACCTCTTCCCAGTGACTGGCCCCCATTCTGAATCTCCCAGGGGCACCTATGTCAACCTGAAAAGATCCCTTCTGGAGCTGAGGAAATGACTGCGGGGCAAATATGAGGACCTGCGTTCAGATCCCCAGCACCTACATGAAAGCTGGGCACTGGGGTGTGAGTCTGAAACCCCAGGGCTGGGGGACGGAGACAGGCGGATTCCTGGAGCTCAGGGGCCAGCCAGTCTAGCTGAATTGGTGAATTGCATGTTTGGTGAAAGACTCTGCCTTCAAAATTAAAGTGAGGAACAACAGAGAGAGATTTTTGAACTCA